GATTCATAATCATGATATACCTTTTTCAATGTAATTTTGCTTTCATATAAATTAATCAAATCTGATAATATAATCAAACAGAAACACATGTACCCTTCATAGAACTACTGTAATCAATAACCACACCCTTTTACATTATCGCTCTATAATCTGTGTATGCCCGCGAAAGATGTTTTCTTCGCGGTAGTTATGATTGATAGTGCCCTGTTGTTTCGTTTTTCGGTCATTAATCCTCATAATTCACAGGGTGAAGTATTTTGCGTCGTGCATATTGTATAGAGAAAACAACCCTAGTTGAAAATGAAATTAAATCGGAATCGAGATATATGCAATACAATGATATATACCATTAAAAAGTATTTTGTGCAGTATATAATTATCACAGCCAATAGAAATAATCTAATACTGTGATTATCAATAATACAATAAAAGTATAATTTAATATTATTATTTTATACAGTTTTAATTTCTATGAAAAAAATATTTGATATTTGTGCGAGCAATATTCACAACTTCATGTTGCATGATAACGGAAATATTAGATACATATTTAACTATCTTAGAGAGTAGAAAGCGAAAATTGAAAAGTCACAAATGGTATAATATTCGAATTAAACTCGTGATTTACATAAGCCCTAGTAGTGGCCGGTTTTACAAGGTTGCCTCCCTTTCAGCGATCGTGACGGAGATCCAACGGTCACGAGACGGCGTTTGACACAGTTTCGCGCTCGAAGTACCCGCGTTAATGCTAGAGAAAGGCTTAATCGGCGCGGATCGCATGTCTACCATACATTTTTGCGACTCACCTTACAGATCTCCGTGCTGGCGTAATACTTTTCCGGCGGGGGCGGTATGGGTGGTGGGTTAGATGGATATTCTTGGACCGCCGGAATTGGCCTGGCAAGATTGATCGTCGAGTTAAGCAGGAGCGGAATAACCGGCTGCACCTCGTTGATTCCTGTCCGAGCGACGAGGAGTGAAACGGAAAAGAATCAAGAAATTCGACAAAGTTAAAAATATAATCACGGCTAGCCGTCGAAGAAAAGAATTGCCGTCTGTAATGCCTTCTCTCGCGTTGAGTTTCCAAGTTTCGGGAGATCGTTACCATTTTTTAACGAGACTCCGTGCAGCGCCGCGAAACTCCAACATCATCGGAGTACACCGAATGAAGTTCTTCCGGAAACTCAGAGATAACGACGAAAAGAATGTTTATTTCAATTTATTACTATATTATATATCGTTCGTCTCGTATAAACTCGCTCGCACGATAATGACATTTGTGGACTCGCAAAATTAGTGACCTGTTAATGAGTCGTAACATGCCGTTTCCAATAGTTAATTAATCAAAGACTTTAGTCTAATTCGATGAAACAAGGTCGCGCGACGCGACAAACAGTCTCTTTGCGGACTGTGGTTTTCTCTCTCTCTCTCTCTCTCTCTCTCTCTCTCTCTCTCTCTCTCTCTGTGTCCAGCAAGCTGTGCCAACTATGAGACGCAACGGAATAGTTTGTCGACTATTCCAACTACGTTGTGTGGCCGTGGTAAAACCAGGCGCAGAGATTCGAAACCTCGGCTTGACCGTCACTCGGGACAACCCGTTAGAATTCCCGCGATAACACGAAACTATCCATGTCGAGACAGAGTCGAAGTCAGCGAATACAGAAGTGAAAATGTCTTTGGTGAAATTGAACGGACTGAGATGTTGATCAATTTTTAATGTCATCATTGTCTGAAAATGATAAATTAACTTCTTAAAGATAAAATTTATAGCGGCAAATTATCGAACGGAAATATATCGTAAAAACGAAAAGGAAAAATAAGAATTTGTACAAAAATTAGAAGTAAACACGTAGAAATACTAAAAGATATAATAAAAAAAATAAAAAATAAAAAATAGAAATGTTTGGACTATGAAAATTAGCGAAGCAGATTTTTAAAGTTAAACACTTAGCATTCAAATGAACATCGGTCCGATACAATTTCAACGATTGCGTTCTAAGGAAGTAATTGAATTTGTAACAATTAGAATTAAAAGAAATCTGGATATTTGTACGTTTATGTGCAGTATTTTAACAATATTTCAACGACTGTAATCCCAAAAGCTAAAAGTGAACCAAATTCGAATGGAATGTAGACGTAAAAGGAAGTAGTTAAGCGTATGAACTTTTAAACGTTGGTACCAACCGGTGTAATCCGTGACGGTTTTGTGTAATTGCGGCGTTGTCGTGCTGTAAGTGGCTGGATGGTACTGCGCCGGAAGCGGGGGGCAAATTGGTCCTTTGTCCTCGCCCTCCTCTGGCACGGAGACCTGTGGCCAAATATCGAGCGTTATCATTAATGCACCTGACATTTATGCATACGCCGACCGTGTATATCACGCGGTAAAAGCGATATACCATCGGTTTATCCTCTCCTATTTTCCAGCTCTCCCTCGCGACCCCCTGCTCTTACTCTCCTCAGAATATTCATAGTCGATGAAACGAGGAGACATTGCATGGGCCCTGAAGGGGTTGGCGCGCGCGCGCCTGGTTATTGTGTGCTGAAGCGATGAATACCCGTTGGCCTACTGACTTATTATGTATTGCCGATTGCATAATTTTATTTTACAGCACTCGGCACACGCTACTGTAGACAGAGCATGGAAAATAGCGCGAGCTTATTTTCGTTACCGATAGAAACGATAATGTTGGAACGACTCCCTAGCTATTCGCGAAGTTCCATAAACTTGTCTCTCCCCAACGTCGTTCGTTTCGAGATAATTTAAATTTAAATATTACAGATACGGATTTCCTTATCGTTTAACTTTTAATTTAAAAAACCGTTAATGCATTTTTTCCGTGAATAGTATCGCTTTCGTTTGTAATATGTTAATTTTATCTCAGGAATAACTAGTATAATGTGAAGTAGGCTATTGCAGATAAGAACAAAATCTCTTTCTATTATAGCTGATTTATTAGATTTTCGCATAAGGAACTTTTTATAGTCATGCGAGAGAATGGTTAAAAAGAGAGCGCGATGAAAACTCGGCGAATCTCAAGTATCTAGCAAGAACCACGACGTAGTATTAACGGCAACGTATTCTCGACGCCTGACGTAAGTTGCATTTGCTTTTCTCCATTAACGGGATTCGTCAAGGCAGTACGCTTTCATCTAAAATGCGATGGTAAAACCGCGCGGGTGCCCACCCGTAAAGCTCTTATCTCGTGTCACTTCCTCCCGGCGCCTTTATCTTGGTTCACAACCATGCAAAAGTACACGAGGGTCTAGACGATCGAGCCCGACATGCCACCTCAGGAAATTAGCAGTTTTATTATAACAAACAATCTAGGATACCCGAGACACCGGAGGGGTGTTTACGTTGCGGCTCCTCGTCACTTTTCTTTGCACGATAAGACAACTCGCGAGGGATCGCAGGAACACGACGAGTATGTATGTGCGTGTGTGTGACTCGCGATATAATATCCATTGATTTTTGCGTTGCTTCAGGCAATGGATGCCAAGGCTGACTTGCGAGGACGTAGGGATGGGTATTAATTTCCGTTTAGGGAGCGTTAGAGGGTGCCAGACTGGTGAGATGCTGCAGCGCGGCAGTTAAGATAAGATAACCACTTAACCATCGGGATTCTACGCGAATCTCACTATTCTCGCCCTCTTTTGCACTGTCTCGCCAGCATATACACATATATGTACACATATATACGCATTGGTGTTATACCATCCATGTCGCTTCTATCTTTCTCGATCGCTCGCGTTTCTAGAATAAGGGCTCGCTTCCCGCCATCGACTTTAACCACATCTACTAACATCTCTTTCTCCATTAAGGGCTATCTGAAGTCCTGTCTCGATCTCTCTCATACTCTTATGATCGGGCATTCAAAGCGATGTCGACAGCTCGTTTTCGTTGGTTGGACGCCGAAATGATCGCGACACTACGATGGCAGTTTGGAAGTATTATTGTTGCCCGAGAGATAATGATCCAGTTTACAGAATGGTCTTACTTATCGTCGAGCAAATTATCTGCGAATTGTATACACATAGTGACATGATTCTTGATGCGAAAAAGAGAAAAGTCTAAATATAAAATCATTGCTAATGAGGCAATTAATTTGGATCGATATTTGTTTAATTATGCAAACTTACATTCTGAATACATGATTAAAAACTTGCACGACTCTTGACATTAAAGGAATGAAACGTTTATTTTTGAATCGTCGATCTAGCGTGAGATCTTGTTTGTACGTCACACATGCTCGGTAATGGAGAAAATAGACAACTATTAAGAATTTATTAATATACGAAGTTATGAAAGCCATCGTTAACAAGTCAGCAATATGTAGAACAACCTGAAATAACTAGCTTATTTTTAACGATAGAAAATAATGTTCCAAAAATAAATAGCTTAGTAGATAATTTACTCATTGTTTCTTTTTCATATTGTACAGTTTAAACAAACTCAAGAAAAAATTTTTACAAAATTCGCGGCTGTAATATTTTTAAACGTATGAGCTACGCATATTTAATAGGCGCTATGAAAATCTTTTATGATCATGTATTACATAATTAATAACATCATTACGAAGAGATTATGAAGAGAAGCTTAAGCTCTTTAAGAAAACATATTTTTACTGTTTTTACGATTTCACAGAATCTCTTCATGAAGAGATTCTGATGCATTATTGACATGCGATTATGAAATGCGTAAATAATACAGCGCTTTTTCTTTTGACGTATGGTACATCAATCGGACACTACGAATGTATGTATCCGTGATTTCTTTCGTAAATCCAGACACGTTCTATTGGCCATAAAATGATTTTATCAATGTATCAATCGCCGGGCATCGTTTAACGTCAAGAAGCCAAGCTTGATATCTTTTCTTTATAAGTTTGGTATTCAGAACGGAATACGCCTGGCGAAATAAATTACAGTGCTATAGGTAACAGCGAGAGAGCTTACGTGCACACGTTCCGTGGGATTTATTGAAGTGGCGTATTTGTTTAGAGATATTACGTGTTTGTCCGCATACTAATCGCATATCGAGTTTAACCGCGATTACGAGATCGGCAAACGATAGTCTCGAATAATCTCTTAACGAGGCGGTTGAATTAAAGGTGCATTTGAACTGAATGGATTATTATCATAGATAATTTACATGTACTAATTCCTGTCAATTTTTCTTTTTTACACTCATGATACAGAATGTGAAATCTGATTTCAATAAGAGCAATTTTGCTGAAGAATCTACAAATTTAGCTATACAGATCTGTATACAGAAAATAATTTTATGGATTATCAAATAATTTTGTAAAAATCTTAAGCATGATGAGCAATAGCTCTAAAATGTTTCGATATTCTAGCAACCATATTTTTTCGTCCTACCTAATTATTTTGATGGTCTAATAAAATTATTTTCAGATCTGCTTTTAGCTAAATTTTTAGATTCTTCATCAAAATTGCTCTGTCAGGAAAAGAAAAACAATGTCTTATTTATTTCACCGTACACGTATTCGAACAATATGCATAGGCACGTGTTTAAAAATTTTATTACACAAAAAAACATATATGTATAACAAAATTCTGGAAACTAAAATTTTCTGACGCGCGTAATGCATTTTATGTATTTATGTTTATACGCAACGATGCTCGGTATTTACGTTATTTTTTTTTTTACATTCGTTTGCACGCCGTATTAATCTGAGAAAAATGTTAAACTTGTTAATGCAGTAACCGGAAATATAAATAGAGACGTGAAAGGAGCATGTTAGGTGTAGAGACGGAAATGAGAATCGAAATCGTGAAACGGGTTAGCCCGACAAAATCCGTGAAGTGCTAGCGAAAAGATTCCGGGCACAAAACGATCTTTCATTAATTAGCACCGGAGTGCTTTTTGCCATTTTCATTACCATGAGTACATCTTCGCCTCTTTTCTGCAAAGGCTGCGCGACCTGTCCCAGCAAGTTTACACATTTCCCAACTCTGTCCAAAAGTGTCTCCCATGCATTTCACTTGTTCCATGTTTTTTATTAATTTTTCATGGCGCTGACCAGCTTTTAATTAACTTTTAATTATTCTCGTCTTCTTCCTACTTTGGCATTCCATTGTTATAAAATGTTCCATGTCCTTTGAATATTATTATGATTATTATGATTATTATATCTAAAGAATTTTAGCATTTTTAGCTTTTGCAACAATGCTTTTTAAACTTTCAAATAAATTCTAACAATTCTGAATTATCTACACAAAATTGCTATTTCTTGTCTTTTTTTGGAAATTCTGTTTAAATGTCATCATTCTTTTTCAACAATTTAACAGATAATTTTTCAAACTGGGAAATGGAACTGTCGCACAGCGTACATACACACACATATATATATATATATATGTATATTCAATTCGCGGTTAGGATTACAGCGCAGGAAAATCAGAGAGTTTGTTGCTTTAAATTAAAATAATCTGTTTTCAGTCGACTGTCTCTCGTATCGCCCTTTCTATTTCCCTCTTCCCTCGCTCGAGCTAAACCCGGTAAGCATATTACCACTTACTTTTATACGGAATCCTTGCTATAGTTCTGCTCACCGTGCTCTTTTCGCACGAACGCAAAAATATACAAAACGCGTATTTACAAAATTGCATCACAGAGCTGTGCCACATTCAATAATAATAAATTCTATGGTTCGAATAAAATCACGCTCGTATCTGTTATTATTTGTTTCCCGCATAACGCATGTGCCCTTCAGGCAATGTCGTAAACGGATTATTTATTGCAACGCACTGATATGTGGATAATTGAATATAATTTGATTTGCTAATTGGTAAAGAATATAGCTTGATCTGTAATGCGAGAATGGACGTTTACGTAAATTAAATAATCCCGCGCAATGAAATCTGGAACAAGAATTTGCTGCATCGTAAATTCCCGGATAAGAGAAGGGGAAAAAAAGCACAACACTTCGCGGGGCTTTAAGCGATATACTATCCTACGGAACTTCCTTCCAACGCTTTAAAGCAGACCGATGCAGCTAACGTGTCAAAAAAGAGCGAGTCCTCCATCATATTCGTTCTAAATGGAATCAGACAGATCGATATGTCATCCACGAAACAAAGTTTAGTTTTCATAGTTCATGTGCTCGATAAATTGGAGAGATCTTGTGTCCGGTAAATTGTCCTCCTGACTACTTCGGATAGAAGGAGAAGAGAGATAAGATAAGTTCTACGATAGAATGGATGTCCGAACGCATTAAAATTTGATGCTGAAAAATAAACACTGAATAAGGAATGGTGTTTTTAAGCACAAAATCATTCACGATAGAGAACAATGAGCTGCAGTGATTAATAAGTTGTAG